CCCATTTGTTCGTCGACTCGTCGTCGTCGTCGTCGTCGCCGCCGCCGTCGTTGTCATAACCGCCGTCGACGTCGCTGTCGTCGTCGTAGTCTAGGTGGTCGTCGTCACCGCTGCCGCCGCTGCCGTCGCTGACGACGACGCCGCGCGCGCAAGACGTGTCCAGTGCCGCGTCGTCGCGAGCGTCCGTCGCGGTCTCCGTACTCGTCGTCGTCTTCGTCATCGACGTCGTCGACGTCGTCGTCGTCAACGTCGTGGTCGTCGCCGTCGTCGTCGTCGTCGCCGCCGCCGCCGCCGCCGTTGCCGCCGCCGTTACTTCGGCCACTGTCTCTCGTCGCTTACCGCTGGGAGGGAACATCTGTGAGAACAACTGCAGTGGTTCAGAAATTCCGAAAAGTTATCCCTCCTGGTTCTGAACCGCAGGCTGACCCCCCTGAAAGCTGCCCGATGTGTTCAGTAAACCAGGGCCCTTATCTGGGCCCTGGGACCCTTTAAGACGTTCTCGTCGTCGTCATCACTGTCGTCACTGTCGTCAACGTCGTTGTGGTCGTCGTCGTCGTCGTCGTCGTCGTCGTCGTCGTCGTCTGTCGTCGTCGCGGCTGACGCCGCTGCCGCCGCTGACGACGCGCGCGAACCGTGTCCGGCGCCGCGTCGTCGCGAACGGCCGTCGCAGCCTTCGAACTCGTTGTCGTTGTCGACGTCGTCATCGTCGTCGTCGTAATCGTCGGCTTCGTCGCCGTCGCCGCCGCCGTTCTCGTCGCTGCCGCTGCTTCGGACACCGTTTCCCGTCTCTCACAGCGGGGATAGAACACTCTTGATAATGCACTGCAGCAGTGCACAAAAATATCACAAATGTGCCCTCCCCTTTCTGACTCAAAGGCCGAGGCCCATGAAAGCTTTCCGCCGTGTTCAGCAAACTGAGGCACTTGTCTGGGCCCTGGGACCCGTAGAGAAGCATCTGGAATAACGGGATGTCCCCAGTTCCCAAGAATTCTCTCCAAGACGGCATGGGTGGTCTCCAAGACGGCCAAGATGGCCCACGATAGCCTCCAAGATGCCTCCAATACGGCCAACGTGTCCCAAGAGAGCCCAAGATAGCCTCAAGATGGCCTCCAAGACGGCCAAGATGGCCCAAGATGGCCTCCAAGATGCCTCTGAGACGGCCCAGATGGCCCCAAGGGAGCACAGGATAGCGCCAAGCTGGTCTCCAAGACTGCCGAGATGGCCCCAAGAGAGCCGATGTAGCACCAAGATGGCCTCCAAGACAGTCCCAAGATGCCCCCAAGACCGCCGAGATAGTCCAAGAGAGCCCAAGACGGTCCAAGAACCGCCCAAGAGGCCCCTCAGACGGTCCACGAGGCCTCCAAGAGGTTCTCTAAAAAGGCCAGAAGATACTAAACATTTCAATTTGTCGTCAGAACTTGAAGGAATTTCGAATTTGCTTCAAAACGGCCTTCCGACAACACAAGACGGCCCATCAAGCCCCCAAGCCCCTCTTCGACCACCATGTTGAGGTAATCTTGGGCAATGTTGGGGCCCTCTTGGGCCGTCTTATTGGGCTATGTTGGGCCGTCTTGGGGCCTTCCGTGAGCGATCCCACAACAATGTTAAGTATGTCGTATTAGCTTGAGGAAGTCCCTAGCGAAATCGCCGATTTCGACCACAAAAAAACAGTTAGATCTGGGCGTCCCGCTGCCAACCCCCTCGAACTACCCCAAATTTACCGAACGGACCGCACGGGAAGCGCGCCTTCCGTTTCCTGGGGGTCCGGCTGCCAGCCCCCTCGAACTCCCCCAAGTTTCCCTCCCGATTAACGGATCGGGCGCGAAGCGCATTTTCCGTTATCGGCCACCGTGCCTGCACGGAGTGGGCGAGTTAGAACGCTCGTCTGTTGTCTGGGAAGTTCTAATGTTTTCGAAGGCCGCCCCCTCCCCCCCCGAACGCGGGGTCTGGAGACCAGCTCCCCTGAACTTGCTCTCCGGCGGTCTTTTCGGCCTCGAGACGGCCAAGATGGCGTCCCAGACGATTTCCAAGACAGCTAAGATGACACCAAGATGACCTACCTAACACGGCTCAAGAGACTCCCAAGACGGCTACAAGACGGCTGAAGAAGCCCCCAAGACGGCCCAGGAAAGCTCCGAGCGGCACTTCAGGAGAGCCCGAGGAGACAAAAAACATTGCTTGTCCTTAGATGTTTAATAGAGGTTGAGGTTCTGGTCTATTCGGGCTTCCAACCACCCAAGACGGCCCAAGGGGCTTCCAAGGTAGCTCCAAGACAGCCCATGAGGCACAGAACCCCGAGCCAGTCCAAGATGGCCCCAAGATCGCCCGAGAGGTTCCCAAGAGGGCCCCAAGACGGCCATAAAGCGCCCCAAGAGAGCACCAAGACGCCCCAGAGGGGCCCCCAAGACGGCCTCCGAATGCGTCTGACGGGCCAATCACCTCCTGAAAACGACCCGAGAGGCCCCAAGAGGCCCCCAAGAGGCCCCAGGAGGCCCCTTGTAACTAATTCCGCCCTTTCGCACCCCGAAGCGTGTCGGTGGGGCGGGCCGGGCGTCTCGCCTGAGACGTCCCCACCATTTGTGATCTTGAAGCTGGGAATTCCAAACTATCTGTGATCCTGGAGCTGAGAATTTGCCACAGCTTCACGGATGGAGGACGGGCCGCTTTCAACATGTGGCTCTCGCATAAGTGCCGCGAACATCCGTCTTGGAAGCTCGCAAGATGTTCACGGATTGAGGGCGGACCGTTTTCAAAATCTGACTCTCGCCTTAGCGCCGCGAACAGTCGTCTTCAAAGTTGGCCAGAGCTTCACGGATGGAGGTCGGGTCGTTTTCGAAGTGAGGCTCTCGCCTGAGCGTCGCGCACATGTCTTGAAGAATTGCAAGGGATTCACGGATGCAGGGCGGTCCTTTTCAAAATTTCGCTCTCGCCTGAGCGCCGCGCAAACTCGTCTTGAGCATTTGCAAGAATTGCACGGATTTCCACAACTCACGTACCAGAGAATTTGCTTTGGCACGATGTCGGACTGCCAGGGCGCAACAGTTACGTTGATTGGCGGTGTTGGAGTCCCAGGAATGGTGCTCTGACACGATTCAGGATAGTTAAGACGCGACGACAACGGTGGTTCCCAGCGTTGAAGTTCTAGGAGTGGTGTTCTGGCACAGATCGGAACTTTCAAACGGTTGTCTTCCAGCGGGACACTTCCCTCAGTGAGAGTAAATCCGTGTAGGTGCCTTTCAAAGAAAACTGGGAGGGAGGGCAGATTGCGGTATCGTTGATGAGTCTTGGGTTTGCACTGGTCCTCCTCATCCTCCTCCCTTCCTCCTCCTCCTCCTCCTCCTCCTCGTCCTCCTCCTCCTCCTCTTCCTTACCGCGCGGACGAAGACGATGGCAGGATCACGACCGTCCCCAGTTCAAACCACTCACTGAACTTTCAAGGGGTGTCAACTTGACCTCCTTCTTACCGCGCGACCCGTTCTTATGAGACCACTTGTCGAAATTGCGTTGTTCCTACACTCAGTCTCCGTTCTGCAGCGCTTTTGCATAGGCACGGTGGCGGGGTTTGCCGCAAGCAGCTGGATAACTATCTCAGACCGTTTGTATGTGAACGGGGATCAAATGCACCAAAGCAGCGGCACTTGGTCCTAAAACGCGGCCGACCCAAATTGCAATGAGCCCACTGCCAATCCGTGCGTAAGTTGTTACAGTGAAGTGCCGGTCTTTTGTATCTTCTCCCCCGTTCCCCCTCTCTTCCCTCCCCCTTCTCCCTTTCCACTGTTCCCTCCCCTTGGCTTAAGCCTTGCCGCAATAGCTCCCACCGAGCATATAACGCGCCCCGCTGTTGTTGAGCATGCAGCGCGCCCCGACTTTTCCGTCTCAATGGCTTCTAGTGTTCACTCTTCTGCTTCACAATCGAATCGTCGCGCGATCTCTCTTGCGCCGTCTTTCCAGAAGGGGATGCTGATTGCGCACTCTTCTGCCCGCGCGTCCTGCCAGAAACATGGCTCAGTGGCGGCCGTTGTGCCCAAGCGCCGCGCCAAGGGATGGTGCGTGGCTTCTGTACTACCACCAAAGCGGAAAACCCGAAGTGGCCCTCAAAGTCCTCAGTGCAAGGATGGTCCCCGCGACCACCAGGAGACCCCAAGAAGCCCCGAGAAGCACCCAAGAGGCTCCGAAAGAGGCCTTCAGGAGAACCCAGAGACCCCCTGGAGGACCCCCAAGAGGCCCCCACAAGGCTTCCAACAGGCCCCAAGAGGCCCCCAAGAGGCTCGAAAGCGGCACCCCAAGAGGACCCAGAGAGACTCACACGTCTATATTAGATGACTCCGGCTCCCACCCAGCAACGATGGTTGGATGGGCCCGAGGCCACTAAATCCGCTGTCCCCTCTTATTCCTCACAACCCAGAACATCTGCACACCTCACTACACTTCTCGACTTGTGCGTGTCATCCTTGCGCAGGGGCCATGCTAATCTTCTCGGCATCTTTCCGATTTTAACGGGTGATCCCCGAAGGGAATCTGAAAACTTGCAATTAATCTTACTTGCAGAGGAGTGTCTGCCGTGCCAGCTGTATTAGTATAAGGCCTCTTTGGCCCTTCAAACAAAAATCCCAGCGGCCTTAGGCCGAGCCCGCCGGCATCCAAAGTCTAGAAACAATCGCCATCAAGACGAAAGATGACCCGGCATGGCAACCAAGACGGCCCCACGACGCCTCCAAGAGATGGCCAAGGCGCGCCTAAGAGAGGCCAAGATGGACCCAAGATGCCTCCGAGCTCGAAGCGAGAGGAGTGGTTCAACGGCTCTTGCGAATCGACGCGAATCGACGCTAGTCGATGCTAAATCGACGCTAATCGACGCTAGTCGACGCACATCGACGCTAATCGACGCCAAATCGGCGCTATCCAAGACGCTCATCGGTTCTCGTGAACCTTAAGAAGGAATTGCGACGGTACACAATGCTCCTATGATTTGCGATCGAAGGGGGGCCCCGGGCAGCAGCCTCAGCCTCTCCGCCGAGCGGAGGCCCCGCCCAGCTCGGCGGCGCCGCCCAGCCGCCGAGCCGCTCGCGGTGGAACCCGGAGGGCCCCGGGGCGGAGCGCGGCGGAGCCGCGGCGAGCGTGGGCGCGGGCGGGGCCGCGCCTGCGCGGCAGGGGGGGCCCTGGTGGCACTGTCAAGAGCGGCCACGACGGCGAGAGCCTCCTCCCAGGTGCCATGCTCCCTCCCGGCCTCCTCTCCCCCATGGTCCATCCTCCTCCTCCTCCTCCTCCTCCTCCTCCTCCTCCTCCTCCTCCGCCCTTCTTCTGCTCCCTCCTCCTCCTCCTCCTCCTCCTCCTCCTCCTCCTCCTCCTCTTCCACCGCCCTCATCCTCCTCCTTCTCCTCCTTCACCGCCCTCCTCCTTCTTCTCCCTCCTCCTGTTCCTGCTCAAACTCTTCCCTCAAGCTCACGCCAACAACGGCGACAAGACAAGGCGTAATGAGTCGGATTCGAGGATGGACGACAAAAACTCTCGCATGACATCTAAAGGACAGAAGATGGGTGCGACGATGACGGTTCAATGAGCAGCTATTGCCAAACAATGCTAATCAGAGTGGGTCCCAGACAGTGAGTTTCGAGCAGCATGGGTTGTGCAACCTAGGTGGAGCAATCTACGCGGTGCAAAAGACGTGGCGCAATATTGTGCAATTAATGTCATTTAGAAGTGCAAACTGTGCGGTTTCATTTGGATTGTGCAATCAACAATGCAATGTAGGTGGTCCACCCCATGTGGTACAATGACTGTGGCGCAAAGCAATGTAAACAATTCAAAGTAATGCTCAGCAATGCAAACAAGGCAAAGCGACGCAATGCAATGCAAAGCAATGCAAAGCAAAGCTGAATGATGCAAAGAAAGACAAATCAGTGCACAGCTATGCAAAGAAATGCAGCGCAACACAATGTAATGCGAAATAGCGCAAACCAGCGTAAAACAATGCCATGCAGAGTAACGCAAAGCAGCACAAAGCAAGGCAAAGCACGCAATGCAAAGCAATGCAAGGCAATGCAAAGCAATACTAAGCAACGCATTACAAAGCAACGCAATGCAAAGCAACGCAATGCCAAGCAATGCAAAACAATGCAAACGCAAGGCATTCTATGTGGTGCAATCGAACGGCGGCGACGAGCGGCGACGGCGGCGACGGGGCGGCGACGGTGGCGACATAGCCGTCAGACCAGCCGTCAGGCCCAGACGACGGGCGGCGACGAGGCGGCGACGGGACGGCGACGGTGGCGACGTAGCCGCCAGACCGGCCGTCAGGCCCTGACGACGGGCGGCGACGAGGCGGCGACGGGGCGGCGACGGCGGCGAGGTAGCCGCCCGACGGGCCGTCAGGGCCAGTTCTCGCTAGAACACAATAGAACCCCTGGGTGCAAGCACTGTATGGGGAATATAGATGACACGATATAGACGACAACAAGTCAACACTGCACGACATAGTTTCCACGTGCTCCCTCTCGAAGACACTGTACCTGCGACTGTATGGATCGCTTCGCCTTCCGAGCACCACTAGCTCCAGACGCACAGCTGCCAGTAGTCGCTTGACGGGATCCAGAACCACAGACCTTCGAAGACTGGACAGCGCCCCACTACAGCTCATGCCTGATTCCAACAGCATGGGCCCGAACAAATGACACTGCAATCAGAGCGGGAGCAACCAGCACAAGCACATCAACGCTCCCAACTCCGCAATCGCGGATGATTATGATTCGACCGCGCGCCCTTGTGCATACCACGCTTCCCACTCTTCGCCTGTGAATCCGTCGAACATCAATGTCTTCCACCAATCCTGGTCTTGCCGCTCCTCGTGCCTGTGCTCGATCGCTTTCGCCTCTGAAGCTGAGTCTGCAGTCTTTCTCCGCTTGCGGGCCTCCGTGTCGTTAACTCCTTGCTCTGCCCTTTTCGTTTGTGGTCTGTCACAGCGTTGGCGACGCAGCCTCTGCTTCAACGCCTTGCTTTGCCTCTTTTCGTCAACGCCACGTCGATCAACCGCTAATGACGATGTCTTTCGACTGTGATCTGTTACCACGTTGGCTTTAGCCTTGTCACGAACTGCCGGTGAACCGCCCGGATCCGACATGCGCATGAACTCCGCAACCACTGCGTCCAAGCCCCGAGGATCGGCCGCGCTGTGGGCCCCGATGCCTTTGGCTTGAAGCACTTTGATGATTTCAGACATGTCGACTCCACTCTCACGCTGTACCTTACGTGCTGGCTGCAGGGCCAAGTTGCTGTGCATCTCCTTCGCCTTCTCACGTGACCTTGCGCACAAGCGATCACACTGTCGATACCGCTCGACAGACCACCCATCACGATGGCCACCGGGGTCATCAAAGGCGAGACGCACAGCACATCGATCGATCGATGACACATCAGGGCAAGCCCGTCGGGCGATTTGCCAATCACGATCGCTGGGATCGGAATCAACGGTAAACCAGCAGCTCGCGGAGAGTCAAACCTCTGACGCCCCAGATGCCTGTGCCATACATCTCCTCTGCTTCCCTCGACCCACAACAGATCAAAAGGGCAACTTACTTATACATATATATATACAGATGTGTGTGTATATATACATATATATATATATATATATATATATATATATGCATGGCCCTCCTCTATGGACCCCCATTCCCTATTTTCGAATCTTCGACTATTCAAATCTTCGAATCTTTGAATCTTTGAATCTTCGAATCTTCAAATCTTCAAATCTTCAAATCTTCAAAGCCCCGAATCGCCGAAGCCCTGAATTGCGAATCTTCGAACCTATGAACCTGTGAATCTCAATGTTTAACCCGCTCCTCTGCGTCATTGTTAAGTTCAAAGTTCTGCAGAGATTTGTCGGCCCAGCAGCGTGTGATTTAGCATTTGGATCGTATCGTTTACAGGACGCCGAGGTGTTCATTCGGATTGCCTACCCCCAGGAACCTTAGCATTTTTGAATGGCAAACAGCGGTGCTACATTGACATGCATGTAAGACTGGACCCTACAAATTTGATGCCACGCGGAAAGATGTTGGCAATTATAGTTTCCGTAGAATGGTTCAGGTTCAAAGTTGCTGATAGTTCTAAGACCGTGGACGCCGCAACAGAGAAAATCTTTGATGATGCTTTCAAGTACTATGGACTCGGAACCCAGTGGCGGTTGCAGTCATTGGAGGAGCCTCGCGTGAGGCACAGTGCTGCGGGCGAGGAACACAGCATATCTGATCCGATTTCCGTGGAGCAGTTCTCACAGGCCGCTACGCGTGATGTCGCGAGCGTCAAGAACACGCGCCTCCTGTTTGACTATAACATCGCCCCAGCAGCGTCATTAGGTGATTTCGACCTCGTGGAGATAGTGAAGAGCCAGCAGCTTGATGGTTTGCCTCAGCCTGTTGCGCCGCGGTCTCCCCTACCAGCCTACGTGAAGGTTGGAGTCATCATCGGCGAGCGCCCCGATGGTGCAAAAAGCATCTTAAAGATGTACGAGTTCAACGGTGAGATGCCGTGCCCGACTGCCATGGCGCAGGCCTTGTTGTCGGGAAGCGACCACGTCCCTGTATTTCGCCCAGGCCCGTGGTCTGTCCAGAAGGCTGTTCAGGGCCTTTTGGATCGCACACCAGGGAAGGCTGTTTTCTGGGCAGCGATCGATGATCAGAGCGCGAAGCGCGCCAAGACTGGGGACGAGGCGAACAAGGGTTGGCAGCCCACGGCCGAGGAGATCACAGAAGGCTTGCGGCCCATTGAGGCGGAGTGCCCCGAAACCAGCGGGAATGATCATCAGCTCGAGTGGATTTTGAAGAATACGTACTTGGAGAATGCTCCACTCAAGGGTTGGCCAAAGACTGTCATAAAGCAGGCAGCTGCTAACAAGTCGAAGTCCACGCACGCAGCTGATGTCGAGCGCTGGTTCCCCTGGCTCATCTCTGATTACGTGGATGTTCTGCCGAACCCGATTCTGCCAGCTGCCATACCGCTGTTGACCAGCCACGGCTTGTTCTCGGTCGGTTGTCCAAGTCTTGGCAAGACGCCATTGGCCAAAACGCTCTCCATGGCTCAGGGGCGGTTCAATATTCGCACTCACGGCCGCGAAGCTAAGCAAGCTGGCTTCCGCGTCGGGAAGCACCTCGAGGTGTTCCGCAAACGAGCAGGCGAGGTCGAGATTGGCGACATCTGCGACGACCCTGATTTGATGTCTATGGACATTGAGGAGGCCTTAGTTTTCCTGAATGCTGGCGAGACGGGGCTAGTCACCAGGACTCGATACAGCCCTGCTAAGTTCAAGAAGAACTCGTCCAGAGCGATCCTGAGTAACCTGTTCGATGAAGACATGGGGCCGCCCTCGAGCGACCGCGCGAGCATCACCTTCGATGGGTTGCGCAATATGATCGGCCGCTCTTTTGGACCTGTGAAGCCGCAGTTCCTGATGGCTTTCTTGAAGAGATGCGTTGTCTTCGTAGCTGGGCAGCATGGCTTCTACCTCCGTCTGCCAGGCGAGAACGAGGACATGGTTATCCACCGTTTTGATGATGCGCGCCTGCGGAAGGGTGGAGGCTGGGCGAAGCCAGATCACAAAGCAGAGTATGCTTTATTCAAGGGTGGCGTTTGTCAGCGATATGAAGGCTACGCCGAGGCCGAGCAGTCTGAGTCTGCCATCATCGACAGCTTATTCTCGAATTTTTTTCAGAAGTCCCCGTGGCGGAGGTCGCGAGCCGTTGCAACGATTTCGTGTCTTCGTTTCTGCAGGGGCGCCAGGCGTTCAGCCGAACGACGCCAGGCCCCACGGCCCCTACCCCGCCGGGAGAAGTCGTCATTCGGCCTGGCGCTGATGGCCAGTACGCCGACCTGGGTTACCGCATCCCCAAGGTAGAGGCTACTGCGACTAAGAGGGCGAGGTTTCGCTTTGACCAGTCAGGTGGCGCAGCCTGTGGTAGCCGAGACGACTACCGAGTAGCGGGGAGGGAGCGCATTGCGAAGGCCGAGGCGAGCGAACGACCTGCTGGAGAGACCGCCAGGTCGTCGGCCGCTGGATGCGGTTCGCCCAGGCCGACGCGCGCTCCGTGCACAGACGCCGCCGAGGACATGGCCGATTTGCAGAAGTTTCTCTGCTCGGCGGCAGCTGGCCACAACGGGGAAGACATCGACCTTCTAAGCCCGAGCTGCTGCGGCGATCCGAGCGACCTGCTGGAGGTGCAGAAGGCGCTGTGGGAGGCGGCGCGCGACGCCCACCAGTCCGAGATTGATTCGACGGCGTGCGATGAGGCTGATGTTGAGGAGCCCCATGGCATTGGCCTCATGCTGCTCGGGTTTGCCACAGGGATCGCCAAGGAGCGCCCGTGGCGCGACGTGTGCCTGATCCGCGCCTTGCGGAGTCTGGGCGTTCCACTGCAGCACTGCAGAGACGGTCCAATTTCCATCAGCCAGGTTCAGAGAATGATCGCCCATCTGAGCTATCGTTTAGAGCACGTGCCATTCCACCCGTATGTTGCAGTGCCTCCTGGCAGCTATGTGGTAACATACCGCCCTGTAGGCGCTGCCATGGGGCACGCAGTTGGTCTCGTGGTGGCAGCCCCAACGGCGGGATGGATCTTCGATGATGGCGTTGTCAGGAAGTGGTCTGGGAGTTTGCATTTTTGTAGATTAGTGGGCGATGCCCCAGCCGATGCGTGCGCGTACTGGCGCGTGGTGAGGGGACCCAGCCAGTGATATTGCACTGCGCGGTTTCAATCTGCGACGTTGCGTGGCTCGTGCAGGAGCCGCGCGCCGCGCGCAGCAGGTCGCGTCACCAATACAGGGTTTCGAGCGACTTTGAAGGGCATTTCAATTGCGCGTGCGTTTCTGTGTTCATCGTGACCGCAGAGAACGGAGCTGCAGCGTTCAGATCGGTCTTGGCCGCGGGGGTGCGCTGGCCAAGTGAAAAAGAGAACCGTCTGTTTAGTTATGTGGTTTAGCTGAGCTGTAGTATCATCTGATAAACGCGACGCTGATGGGGGCACGGTGCAGGAGTCACCTTTCCCGTGGAAGGCTGTTCGATCACCTCTTCTGGGTGCCTTGGTGCGGTCTAGCGTGGGAGTCGCGTCTTCGTTGGTTGAAACTACCCTGGAGCCGCCCCTGATATCTCAGAGAATCCCTGGAAGGGTATCTTGGGACTTCTGCGTGAATTCGTCATGCTCCGCTGGAGCGCGTCTTGCTCTGCCATGTCGTCGGTGCCGCCTTCTCATCAGTCCCTTGCGCCGCGGCCGCTTTGGCTCGAAGACCAGGCAGGGCGCCGCGCTTTACAGATGAGTGGCTTTGTTCCGAAACGCGGCAAGGCCCGCGATGGCAATGGATTCAAGCGGATCTTGAAAGCCGTGAAAAAAAAGAAAAGAAAAAATACAAAAAAACAAAAAAAAAAATCCTGGCGAAGGACCCAACCATATGCATTTGTGAGTATCGCAATTGGGAGCATCTTCTTCGGTGGCGCTCCCTATGGGGCCACGAACCGCATGAGGGGTGTACCGAAATGTGGCGGGGTACACAACGCAAAGGATTACGATTGATCTGATTACGAGAGAAAGAACGCGGGTGAGTCAGAGCGCGAGGGAATCTGAGTATGAATGGGTCTGCGCGCGAGTGAATATATTTGCATGAATGCGATCATGGAACCGCCTAGTGTAAGTGTCGAGCATGCCTGTCCGAACACACGTGACACTGGGCGTGGCCGCCGCAGGCAGCTTCCGCGGGAACCCCGACGGCAGCGTCCGCACGTCGCGACGCCCATGTCGGCACGCCTCTTGCGAGGATCGCGCCCGCTTTCGGCTCTTCTTTTCCTTCCTCTTTGCCCGCGCACTCCAAAATCCAAGGCTGCGGGCGCAGCGCAGCGCGGAGTCCCCGCGACGCGCGCTGGTCGCCCCGGGCGGGGTCCCAGCGACGCGCGCGGGTCGTCCGCTGCGCGAAGCAGAGAGAGCTGACTAGCTAACTGGCTGGCTGATAGCGGGCAAGTCTCTGACCGCTGGGCAGAGCGACGACGGGCGAACGAGGCGCCGGGCCCCCCGCAGCACGGAGTTCCCGCGACGCGCGCTGGTCGCCCCGAGAGGGTCCCAGCGACGCGCGCGGGTCGTCCGCGGCGCGAGGCCAAACAATTAGTCGGGCAGTCGAGAGAAGGCGCGGCTCGGGGGAGACGCTCCTCAGGTCGGGCCTCGCGGATGAACTCGGTGAAGCCGAGCTCCCTGGCGAGGGCCGTCGCTTCCCTCCTGCACCGCTTCGTGCGCGCCGCAAACTGCTCCAGCTGCTTCCGCAA